CAGAGAGTAGCTACATGTATTTGTCAGAACTCATCCAACTGTCAAAAGTGGAAACAAAGCAAAAAAGTGAATTTCACCTCAACTTGGTTTGATTAAAAAACAAAACAAAACAAAAAACCAGAGGTGTATCTTGGCTGGTAAAGTGCTTGCCTGGCATTCACAATACCCTGGGTTGGATCTCCATCTCCACATAAACTGGACTTGGTGGCACTTGTCTATAATCCTGGCACTTGGGAAGTAGAGGCAAGAGGATCCAAAGTTCAAGTTCATTCCCACCGCATGGCAAGTTCGAGGCCTGAAATGCATGAAACCATATCTTAAATGAATAAGAAAGAGCCATAGAAGAGGTAAGTGTGCTGTCTATGGCTACAGAGGAGCCACTGCCTTGAGAACTGATGAAGAAACAAGTCTCTTGAGTGAGTGCTTAGTGTTGAGGAGAGGGACCCATGCAGTCAGAAAGAAGCTTCTTACTACTGGACAGAAGAGGTCTGCAGGGAAAGACCCAAAAAGAATGGAGATGAACTAGCAGACCATGATGCCTTCAACATTGAAGGATAGAAGCCAGCCTGGTTATGGCCCACAGTGGGAGGGAAGAGGTCTGGAAAATTCAGACAATGAAGAAAAGCCAGCCCTGGGGCCATGGCTGGTACCCAGCCTTCTCCATAGACCTCCCCTTGACTGTTAGGTCAAGAGCTCTGTTCCAACAGCTTTGGAGGGGCTGTTGAGTATTGGGGTGACTCCCTTGAGGACACCAGGGCAGGCCCATACAGTGTGGGAGTCAGACTACCAGGGATAAGCCTTTGGTACCCTGAGTGGCTAAGGAGACAAATTGGAATCAATGTCACCCACCCTGTTGAGGACTCGGACTGCCCTCCAGGCCTGGGCAGTGGCTCCAGGATGGGCACTGACCCCCTCCATACCCACAGAGTGCTAAATTTAGCCAAGCAGGGGAGGTTGTCCTGGGGCCGAGTCCTTGGCAGCAGGGCCATGTCTCCCTAGAAGGCCCGGCCCAGAACCAGAGCTGGCCACACATCCTTTGGGCTTATAAGGCAGGCCTGGCAGATCCCAAGTGCTGGAGTCTTTGGGTGGGACCTGGGCCAAGCCCTT